ATTCAAGAGAAATGAAAGCATATATCCACACAAAAATATGTACACAGATGTTAACAGCGGCATTACTCATAATCATCAAAACCCCAAATGCCCAACTAATAAATGAATAAAATGTAGATGGAGTATTCCACAGAATGGAATATTATTCAGCCATGAAAAGTAATGAAGCACTGATACACACTACAACATGGATGAAACTTAAAAACATCCCATGTGAAGGAAACCAGTCACAGAAGATCACATACTGTATGATTCCATTTACATGAAATGCCCATAGCAGGCAAATCTATAGACAGATTAATGGTTGCCTAGGAAGCTCCAATACTTTGGCCACCTGAGGCAAAGAACTGACTCATTAGAAAAGACCCTGATGCTGGGAAAGACTGAAGGCAGGAGGAGGAGGGGACGAGAGAGGATGAGATGGTTGGATGGCATCATCGACTTGATGGATATGGCTTTGAGCAAACTCAGGGAGATTGTTCTGAATGAAGGACAGGGAAGCCTGGTGTGGTTCATGGGATCACAAAGAGTCAGACACAACTGAATGACTCAACTGAACTGAAGGCTGAAGGGGCTTGGGGTGGGGCTAAAGAGGTTAAAGATGGCTAAAGACGGTTTGGGGGGGGCGGGAATGATAAAGTGTTCTAAAATTGATAGTGGTGATGATTGCACAACTCTGTGACCATGCTAAATACCAGTCACACACCTTTTTTTTGCTTACTTTTTTATTGATGTATAGTTGATTTACAATATTATATTCATTTCAGATGTACAGCACAATGATTCCACATTTTGCAGATTATACTCCATTATAGGTTTTTTACAAGATAATGGCTATAATTCCCTGTGCTATACAGTATATCCTTGTTGCTTATCTATTTTATATTTAATACATAGTAGTTTTTATCTGTTAATCTCATACCCTTAATTTACCCCTCCCCCCTTTCCTCTCCTGTTTGGTAACCACACGTTTATTTTCTATATCTGTGGTTCTGTTTCTGTTTTGCATACACATTCATTTGTGTTATTTTTTAGATTTCACATATAAGTGATATCACATAGTATTTGTCTCTGACTTTTTTCACTACGCGTAATATTCTCAGGTCCATTCATATTGCTGCAAATGGTTACTGCTTTTTCTAAAATTTATTTTTAATTGGAGCATAACTGCTTTACAATATTGTGTTGGTTTCTGCCATATGCCAACATGAATCAGTCATTGGTATACATATGTCCCTTTCCTCTTGAACCTTCCTCCCACCTCCCACCCATCCCACCTCTCTAGGTTGTCCCAGAGCATGGGGTTGAGTTCCCTGTGTCATAGGTAAACTTCCGCTGGCTATCTATTTTACATACGGTAGTGTATATATGTTTGCATGCTATTCTCTCAATGTGTCCCACCCTCTCCTCCCCCATCGTGTCTACAAGTCTGTTCTCCATGCCTCTGTCTCCAGTGATGCTCTGCAAATAGGTTCATCAGTACCATCTTCTAGGTTCTATATATATTCTCTTTTTGACTTACTTCACTCTGTATAATAGGCTCTAGGTTCATCCACCTCATTAGAGCTGAGTCAACTGTGTGTCCTTTTATGGCTGAGTAATATTCCATTGTGCATGTGTACCACAGCTTCTTTACCCAAGCATATGTTGATGAACATCTAGGTTGCTTTCATGTCCTAGCTATTATAAATAGTGCTACAATAAACACTGGGGTACATGTGTCTTTTTCAACTATGCTTTCCTCAGGGTATACATCCAGTAGTGGGATTCTGGGTCATACAGTAGTTTCTTTTTTTTTTTTAATGTGGTACACATATGCTTAATTTTATTAAAATGCATTTACCAAATTGTTTTCCAACATGGTTGTACCATTCTACATCATTACAAGCAATATGAGAGTTTCAGTTGCTTTGCATCCTCATCAGCACTTGGTATGGTTAGTGTATATGGTAGTTTTACTCCTAGTTTTTAAAGGAACCGCTATACTGTTTTCCATAATGATTGTATCAGTTTACACTTCCACTAACAGTGCAAGAGGCGTCCCTTTTCTCCACAGCCTCTCCAGCATTTATTGCTTGCACATTTTTTGATGATGGACATTCTGACCAGAACTGACTCATTGGAAAAGACCCTGATGCTGGGAAAGAGTGAAGGCAGGAGGAGAAGGGGACGACAAAGGATGAGATGGTTGGATGGCATCACCGATTCGATGGACATGAGTTTGAGCAAGCTCCGTGAGTTGGTAATGGATGGAGAATCCTGGAGTGCTGCAGTCCATGGGGCTGCAGAGTCAGACATGACTGAGTGACTGAACTGAACTGATTCTGACGAGTGTGAGTTGATACCTCATTGTAGTTTTGATCTGAATTTCTCTAATAATAAGTGAGGTTGAGTATCTTTTGATGCAGTCACACAGTTTAAACACATGAACTGCACGGTATGTGAATTATATCTCAAGAAAGCTATTACCAAAAAAAAAAAGAAAAAGAAAAGGTTCTTCTCTTCTATAACACTTTTCTTGAGACACCAATAAAACAAACCATTCTAATATGTGTCTCCTCCTTTCCCTGCGAGGATTTGAGTACCCGCAACTGATACTTCTTTGCACTTATTCAATGTTTTTCCTCCTATAGTAAACTGTGAGTTCCTCAAGGCAGGGATTTGGCTCTTTTTTTTTTTTAAGAATTAAACAGTATTTATATACTGTGTGTAAGCTATGTTAAAGGGTACATCATTAATATTTGCTAAAGACTATCTTAATGGCTGTCATGTGGAAAAGGGACAATGCTCATTTCATATATGCCAATGGGCAGAGATGGAAGCTATAATGACACAATTTTAAGACACGGATGACATGAATTTTCAAATAATCAGGGCTATCCCTTTCTTCAGAGCAGGGGTTTCTGGATTCTGTGGTTTCTCTGAGTTGATACTCAAATTCTTGATGTATGTACAAAAAGTATGGGCATTTTTCCTGGGGGAAAAATCCATAATTTTTATTAGATTCTTAGAGGGATAATGGTTAGAGGTTATAATGGATAACCCAATGATGGTTAAGAATCACCATTTTTAAAATGTCAGTATACCAAGACAAGGATTTTAGTTAGCAAATTTCAGTTGCTGGAATACATCAGTTAAGGTAGGCTTTTACATAGATTATGGTGGCTCAAACAGTAATGAATCTGCTGCAATGTAGGAGACCTGGATTTGATCCCTGGGTGGGGAAGATCCCCTGGAGAAGGGAATGGTCACCCACTCCAGTAATTTTGACTGGAGAATTTCATGGGCAGAGGGGCTATCTGCAGGCTGCAGTCCATGGGGTCGCAAAGAATTGGACACGACTGAAAAACTAACACTAACTTACTTTTACCTAGATTATACTACTTTGGTAATGAATGCAAAAAGAGCATTTTACTCATTTAAAATTACTGATGGTCCAGTATATGCCAACTGCTAAAGAAATAGCTTACACTCTACAAAGCAGAGACAAAAAAAAAAAAAAACTAGTAAAATATGTAAGAAAATGTCATTTGATACAATAACGCCTTCAATCGAGAAAATAAAACATGGTGGAATAGGAAATTATGGGAGTGTAAAAAGTGACTTTTATTAGAGTCATCAGGGGAAGTCTCTGAGGAGATTACATTTAAGCTGAGCAATGAGAAGGACGCTGAGGAACTAACACTTCAGGAATGAAGAGAACAAAAACTGCAGTTTCTAAGATAAGAACACTATTATTACTTGAGTTCTTCGGAGAAAAAGCCATCTCTGATCATCTCTCTATACAACATTTAGAAGAGTATCTCCCACCTGCATTGAAGAGAACTTATTCAACACAATTCAGCATGATGAAAATTTAACATGGTAAGACACTATTGTAAACGAATCTTTAACCACTTAGGGTCATCGTGAATTTACTCTTCATTATCAAGAGACAAAGTGAGTAAAACCTTCAGGGTTTTGTAATAAGAGAAAGGAAAAAAAAGAAAACCCAACAAATGAGGTAGTTTGCTTTTTTTAAGAAGTTTCTCCCAGGGAGATAGTTTTACAAACATAAAGACTATCAAGCAAAGTCTATGAACAGAATTCTGGGTTGGATCTGCCCTTCACCCCTAGACCTTGGTGTTTTGCATTTCTTGTGTTTATCATCTATGATGTACAAGAGGGTGGAGTTACAGTCAATGTGCACAAATCAGAGGGAAGTAAGTTTGAGTTCAAGGAGCTGTCCAACATCAACAGGTTGAATACTAGTGGAAGCACGAAAACTGTAAAACCGTGTCTCAAAGATGTTATACAGACAATTTCCAGAAGAAAGTTACCAGAACTTCACAATCTACAGAGAACTGTGCTAGTTCCTTCTCCTAGTCTTTGGCATTCCTGCCCTGTTACACTCACCCATTATGCAAACGCCCCAGAATGCAAACCACAGGGTGGATTTTTAACCACCACAAACATCATGCCAGTAACAAAGGATTAACAAATACTTGTTCAGGTAACGGGACACAGAACCATGTTCATCTCAGTAACTGAAATTCGGATTGTTAAAGTCTTCAAATTATATTTACGAGGCACAAAAAGAGCCTGAAGCAGTGACACCAAACTGAAAATACACAAGAAATTAAGGTTAACAATACCCAGTCCAACTATTTCATTAGAAAGCACGAGAGAAAGCACACGGACACCCTAACAAGGGGAATTCAAGTGGGAGACCTCCTCACTCAAAGCACTTGGGCAGATAGTGACTAGTTGAGTTAGGCCAACGAGGGGAAGGGGTGAGAGCAACCGGAGGGAATGTCCAGGCTCGTCTGCGCGCGCTCCTGCAGGGGAAGGCCCGGAGGGATCTGGTCCAGCCGCTGCCCGCTGGGGCCAAGAGGACCCTGGCGCTTGGCACCTCCCAAACTCCGCGGGGCCGCAGACACCCCCCCCCCCCCCATCCAGTAGGGCTCTCGGCGCTCGTGCTCGCCCAGCGGCTCGGGGTGGCGGGGCCGGCCCGCGCTTACCTTCGGGCGCCGGCGGCGGCTCCTGCCGCTTTCCACGGGACAGGAAGGCCTTGGGCAGCAGCAGCGACACAGCCAGGACGAGTCCCGAGGCCAGGGCCACCCTCTGCACCGTGGAGTACGCCATGACCGCCCGCCCCCGCCGCAGGTGCGGGCTCCCGCCGGAACCGGAACCGCAGCGCCCGCGGCCTCCGCCGACCCCACCGAGCGCTGCGCGGACGGCGCCGCGCGAGGGACACGCGAGCGCGGCGCGTGGGGCTGACTCGCTCTTCCCGCGCGGTCCCCAGGTGTGCCGAATGGTACCCGCGCCCTCTCATTCGTACCAGCTAGAAACTCCTCCCTGTAACCCACGCCCACAGGGGCGTTCTACACCTAAACTACCGGTGGCCGCGCCCTTCCTTTCATCCCCATCACTACACTGCTCACTCCCCTCCTCAACCGCCCATCAATTAACTGGTTAAGCTTCCAGCCGCTCAAGCCCCGCGCATTCATTCTCCATCTGCAGCCCAAGGTGATAATGCTAAAACTCAGGTGTAAAGCGTTTAAAGCTCTCCATAGCTTCAAATCTTTGAAAAACTCCCCTTTATTCTCATATAAAGGTCCAACTGCTTTCTGTGACCTCAAGGCCCTCCCTTATCTGGTTCTACCTATGCGCCGTTCAAAATAGATCATTTGCTATTCCCTAACATATTTCTTGCTTTCCAGGAATCTTTGCTTATCCTGCTCACACTGCCTGGAAAATTCCTAACACATCTCCACTGCTAAAAACTTCTCTGAAGAATAGCTGAAAAGTACTGCCTTCATGAAACATTTTTAGCCAGCTTCTCCTTCCTCTGTGTCCCACAGTTCTTGTTACTGTCCTTATGAATTTCTTTAATAAACATTCTTTTGGTTCTTACTTTGTATCAATCACAGAAATGGCACTACAGAGTCTGATGAATAAGATAGGTTCCCTATAGGGTAGATAATCATAGAAACAAGAAAATGCAGCAAGTATTCTGGACTCTAGATCACTCAGTTCACTGAAAGGAGGAGAAATAAGGAAAGAGCTTCTGAAAGTAGGTGAAATTAGAGTGAGTGTTTAAAGAATGAGGAAGTTACTAGGCAGACAGGTGAGAGGAGTTCGAAGGATAGTCCAGGAAAAGTTTGCAAAGAAAGCAAAGACATGAAAGCTTGAAGCTTCCTTATATGCTGTGGAAACTATTAGTAATTCATTTTGGTTGTAATTCATTTAGGGTCAGTGACATAAAGTGATAAGGCAATATAAGCAGGAACTAGGTTATGAGAAGCTTAGATATAATTCCCAGTTAAATATGGCAGATGAAGGGCTTCCCAGGTGCTCCCAGTGGTGCAGGAGTACCACTATGGCGCTCGTGCCAATGCAGGAGATATAAAAGATGCAGGTTTGGTGCCTGGGTCAGGAAGATCCTCACGAATAGGAAATGGCAACCCACTACGGTATTCTTGCCTGGAAAATCCCATGGATAGAGGAGCCTACAGTCCCTGGGGTCGTAGAGTTGAACACAACTGAAGCAACTTCATGTGCACACACTCATGGCAGATGGAGCACACACATTTATCTTTGCTTTCTCCAGACACCTCACAAAAATGAAAAAAAGTGTATCAACTAAAATACTAAAGAGGATGGGAAAAACCATGACAGCAGATAAAAATGTCAAAGTTTTTATAAGATGCAACATTATCTGATAGAAATAAAATGCCAGTTACTTATGTATTGGGTTGGTCAAACACTTTGTTTGGATTAAAAACCAGAGCAAAATTTTCAGTAAACCAATAATCTAAAATTTTCTAGTAGCCACACATTTAAAAAGTGAAAATAAACAGATGAAATTAATTAACCCCCAATATTATCATTTCCACATGTGTAACACTAGTCACTCACATTTCAATGACTTAGTAGCCATATGCCTAGAGGCTACCATATTGAACAGTGCAGGTTTAGAGAATAAAAAGTGGAGTGCCTACAGAGAGAAAGACTCTAAGAAGCAAACCAATTTGACTTTCAGAACCTATAAATTCTTAGGAATTGAAAGTACTGAGTTCCTTTAAAGGCAAAGATGTAGAGTGGGATTGAATGAAGAAAGATTGGTTGAAAGTCTATGAAGAAGCAGTTGATATCCTCCAAGTCCTCAATTACTGTAGCCAGGGGACGCCCCTGCTAGCATCACTCGGGCATCATCATTACTATTGTCATCAATAGTACTAAAAGTTATTGAGCTTTTCCTATTGTCCAGGTATTTTCCATATCATGACAATTGATTCTGTTAACTTTATGAAGTAAGAAATATTATTATTTACCCACTTTACGTATGAGAAAACTAAGGAACAAAAAGCTGAAGCAACTTGCCCACAACTGCACAATATACATTGGAAGGTTTTATTTGAATCCAGGCAGGCTTACTCCTGGAAATGGCAACCCACTCCAGTATTCTGGCCTGGAAAATCCCGTGGACAGAGCCTGGTGGACTACACTCCATGGGGTCTCAAAGAATTGGACATGACTGAGCACACATGCTTACTTCAGGACTTGCCCTCTTTAACTACCAGTTTTGCTTTCTGGAACCAGAGAAGCTCTGGGCTCACAGAGAGCAGATGCGTCTTAGGAAGGTGATGACTGATAGGATGTATCTTCTAAGAGACACAGAGGAATCTCAGATTACCCCCAAATTCTTGCTTGGGTGATTGGATAGACATTGACTTCATATAACAAGATTTTGAGAGCAGAAGAAACAAATTTATGAGAAAGATGAGTTCAGATTTTGACAAGTTGAGTTTGAGGGTCCATGAAGTGTCCAGGTGGGCTTCTCAGGTGGTGCAAGTGGTAAAGAATCTGCCTGCAAATGCAGGCAGACTTGTGGATCCAGTCTCTGTGCCGGGAAGATGCTCTGGAGAAGGGCATGGCAACCCACTCCAGTGTCCTTGCCTGGAGAATCCCATGGACAGAGGAGCCTGGAGGTAGCTATCCAGTTGGATAGATGGGTCTGAAGCTCAGAAAAGATGTTTGGACTGGAAATAAAAATAGAAATGATCAGTCCATCAATTGTAAATGAAGTCTGGGAGAAGATAACATCAGCCAGAATGCTCATGTAAATGATAAGCCACAATGGAAACTTGGGTTACACCCTTTTATTGAAGTTACCAAGTATTATGACAAAAGTGGGATGGAAAAGAAGACAGTGATTCAGGTGTTAAAGTTGAATGAATGAAGACACTGGAAAGTGACAGGAACAGAGAGTATAATGAGCAGTCAGATGACCTTCTCTTTAAGGAGTTGCAGTTGGTTTTTAGAGTAGGTGTAGCAGTGGTGGTGGGCTTTCCTGGTAGTTCAGTGGTAAAGGATGCAATGCAGGAGATGTGGGTTCGATCCCTGGGTCAGTACGATCCCCTGGAGAAGGAAGTGGCAACCCACTCCAGTATTCTTGTCTGGAAAATCCCATGGAGAGAGAGGCCTGGTGGGCTACAGTCCATGGGGTCACAAAGAGTCGGACGTGACTTAGCGATTAAACAACAAGCAGTGACCCTAGTGACCACTCAGAGGCATTGCTTTATGTACAAATATACATTGATGTTTATACAGAACTTCCTGAATATATGCCAGTTCTTATCAGTAACTGCATGCATGCAAAGTCATTTCAAAAGTGTCCAACTCTTTGCGACCCAATGGACGGTAGCCCCCCAGGCTCTTCTGTCCATGGAATTCTCCAGGCAAGAATATTGACATGGGTTGTCATGCCGTCCTCCAGGGGATCTTCCCACCCAGGGATTGAACCCACATCTCTTAAGCCTCCTCCATTAGCAGGTGGGTTCTTCACCATTAGCACCACCTGGGAAGCGCTATCAGTAACTACTTGGTCTAATTCTATTGTTTGTGGTTTTACACTCAGAACAAACTTTTTTCCCTTTCACCTGCAGTCCCACTGCCGAGGAACTTGTAAATTGTTCCCTAGCAGCTCCTCCTATGTTGCTGGCATTCTTACCTTCATGATAACTACCTTCCCAATACTCCTGATTTACCTCCTTTCGTCTTTCTTAACACCGAATTTCAGAACAGAAACAAACCGCTCATGGGCCACAAAATCCAGGGAAGAGAACCTACCTTCCTCTGACGTGCAGTAAGTGGTTAAGAGGGGCTCTCTCAGCCTTAGGCCCCAAAAGAGGGGAGCTCTCTTTGCCTCCTCCTTGGAATCTATTTCCATTCTGCTTTGTGATGACCAGCAGGGCTCCCTGATATGAGTCCCTCAAGGCCCTGCAGCTGGAGGCACTTAACTGCAGCTGCTTCCAACTGAGCCTGCCTGGGAGGCCTGAACTGTTCCTCCATGAGGGACATCAAAAAGCCACTCAGCCTTAAGTCATATTCATAGTCGTTGATCATAGCCTAATGTTTAGCCTGCTGTCAGTAAGCGGTTGACTTACTTCTGTGACTTATATTAGTGATTTTCAAACTTGATTTTTTTTTTTTCTGATGACAGATCTTGAATCCAGAAAGCACAGTAAGGAGAAAGTTTGGGAAGTCAAGGATAGGAGATGGAGTCAGAGTGAAATATGTGCTGAGCAGTACACCATTAGCTCTGTTTCTCTGGGGAACTTTAATACGGTGACTTTGGCTATTTCTGAAAATGTAATTCTTCTATTTTTGAGGCTTCTTTGTCCCCGGGGAGACTCCAAGGCTGTACCTTGGCCTCTGAAAACAATTTTAAAAAGAGCCCATAAGAAACCATGGCAAAAAAAAAAAGAAAGAAACCATGGCAGCCCACTGTAGAGTCACAGAACTTATTAAAGGCAGAAATCAGGGTGGTGAGCAGGGAAGTGAGACCCAAATATCCAGAACACTGAGCAGAAGGGAAGAAGGCATGTAACTCCAAAGCACAGAGTGGAAAGGCTAATGGAGGCAGGCAAGAGATGGGACAGGACCCACAGGAGAGGCTATATTGGACCAGGGCCTTGAGAGATGCATGAAATTTCTATCAGGGATAAGGAGATTTGATAAACACCTTTTGAATACTCTTTCTTTGTCAGATGTTATCCACATTGAGAACCTCACTTTCTCAATGTTGAATCCAACAAACTGTATTTCCCCTGGCCACTGGGGTGCCCATATGTAACTCT